TTTTTAAAGGTTTTTTTGCACTGTCCCCTGGATATTTAGTTGAATATTCTGCATGTTTCCATCCAGGAGTTCAGATGATTACCTCCTGGGAGGGCCTCACTGAAAGACAACTAACTCGATTAAGATTTCCCCATGGAAAAATACACATCAACCAGGATAGAGTGCACGAGGAAGAATTTTATTGGCAAGACATAATTGTTTAGTAGGGATATCAGGAAATATTGAAACTCATTTCCCCCAAATTTGTTCTTTAAAAAAAAAAATTTAAGCAAAAGTTACAATGGAGAATAACTAGTCTCGAGCAAACCAAGGAAGACGACATCAGAAAGGCACATCTAAGCTGTTTTTTGGTTTAGTATGAAAAACTTGGTGACTACATCTGCTACTTAGAATTCATGAAAATTAATCCTTTAAGTATCTGTTTGCCACTGTGTATATAAACATGCAGTGTCTAAATACAGTTAAGAGAGGGAAAAAATATCCTACTAAGAATTTTAAACACTGGATAACTTAAGTTTTCACTTACCTGGAATATTTTTTGTGTGGCATAAATTGCCAAACGGGAGGGCAGGACAGTTGGATGTTAATGCTCTAGGCCCCGTATGAGTCTTCTGCGGCCAGGTCCTGTGTTCCCATGTGGATGTGAGCAGACAGTGACCTCACTGTATTCTCATATCACATTTTTTCCTAAAATGTTTATCCTTTTCTACCTTTGCCAAACAATACTTTTCTTGTATTTTGCAGATATGTTATGCTATTAATTTGGGAAAAGAAATTATTGAGGTTCAGAAGGTAAGGAGCATTGTAGTGCTGGTTTAACCACCATTCAAGAGACATCTATACGCATACTAAGATTTCTCTAGAAAAGTGATGCTCACTGGGCAGTGTGGCCAAGTTTGGGATTTCTTTTTAAGCATGCTAATCACCAGACTTTTTTGACCATTTGGTTCCACATTCACTGGTAACATATGGGGACTTCTTAATAAATATCACTGCTGCAGCTCTTGCTTTATCATTTTCTTGCTTGCATACCAGATGGCTAGATTTCCTTTCTTATTAAGATGATAAAAACTTAAGTATGCACCATGTGCTCTAAGGCCTTGCTCCTCAGAGTATGAGCACAGGCCCAGCAGCACTGACAGACATCACCTGGGAGCTTATTAGAAATGAGGACTCCGTGAGACCTCCCTGTTTTTCAGCAGCTTACAATCTTTCATTCATCCATCAAATTTTTGAGAGCCTAGTTTGTATAAGAAAAACCCTGGAATTATAGTAGTGAGCAAGACAGATATGGTCCCCGCCCCTAGGAGACTTCTAGTTCAGCACTGTCCAGTAGAGTTTCATGCAATAATGGAAATGACCTCTATCTGTATTATTTAATATGCAGATTAAAGTAGCTAGTGTGACAGAGGAACTGGATTTTTAAATTTAATTTTAATAGTAACACAGCTAGTGGCTACCGTATTAGTGCAGCTCAGTCTGTTGAGGAGGTCAGGAAGATTAAAGACTAAGAGACCAACGTACCTGAAATAATGGCAAGCACTGCAAGTTAGTATTTAATGGTATAGGTAGACTTTTTCTATAAAGGCCTTTATCTTTTAGGCTTACTATCTCTGTTGTAACTATTCAACCCTGCTGTTATAACATAGAAGCAGCCATAGGCAGTATGTAAATGAATGGGCACGGCTGTGTTCCAGTAAAACTTTACTTAAAAAACAAGCAGTACACCAAGTGGCCATAGTTTGCCTGGTACAGATTAAAAGAGAAAAAGCAGGGGGTTTAAAGATACAGAAGACAAAGGTTTTGTGAAGAAAATTCCTCTAGGGACTCTTTGGGAAGATGATTATGAATTGGCTATGTAAATGATATTTTGGCCAAGAGGAAAAACTTAGGCTAGATTCTAGAAGTAATGTGCCTGAGTTTTTTCAGAGAAGCAGAGACCCAGCTGAAGGCACACACCCAGACAAGAGTCAGGAGGAATGAGGGTAGATCACAGAATTTGATCACATATTTTGAAAGCCAAGCCAAAGAGGTTGAAGTGCATCTTAAGCTTTTTCTTTTTTCCCCTCTTAAACTCTTACAACTTCAGGATCCAGAAGCATTGGCTCAATTAATGCTGTCCATACCACTAACCAATGATGGAAAATATGTACTGTTAAACGATCAACCAGATGACAATGACGGAAGTCCAAGTGAAAACAGAGGCGCAGAATCTGAAGCATAACTCACTTGCGCCTGTGGGGGAAGAGCACACAGGAAGGGGAGCTACCTCCTTAAGGGTTTTCAACTTCTCTGACATACAGGCGCACTGACCTGCTTTCAGAATGCTGACAATCATTTGTGGAATGTACTCTTGATGCCTTGATACTGAGACTTGGGAGGGAAACAGAAATGGTTGACAACGTTCCTACCCATCTACAAATGTTATTTTAGGTGCTTTGTGGTAAGTCCTTTTCTTAGATCGCATTGTTCAGCACTCAGAACAGTTATGAAAAATGCATTGTTCACTTTATTTGAATGTCATCTCTTTTCAGTTTCCAGCATCCTTTTTTAAAAATGGCAAAAGCCTAGATATACACTTTGATAAACACTAAATATTTCCTATTAATATAATCTATTTTTATATTTTACTTAATGAGCTTTAAGTGCCTGTCATTCTGGAAAGTATTTATAATCCAGCACATAATTAGGTCATAATTGGACCTAACAGCATTATTTTGTGCAGTTAGGCGACAAGCACTACTTTGAAGCCCAAGCACTAGTGGAGATGCAGGTCTAGTTTTGGTAACTGTTCCAGACATCATGCAATAAAAAGACTAACTGATGAGTACCACAAAAGATGGTTTACAGTGGAGCCTTACTGAACCAGCATTCAGAAGTTTAAGGTCCTCCTCGATACAATTATTTTTAGTGGTGAATCACTGTGGACAGGGTGCAGCTCTACCAGTTCCTGTTTCTTCTGAGCCATACCCTCCCTCAAGGAGGGACCAATTAATTTTAAAACTCACTTGAAGCACAACTGGTTATGGGGCTTGGGATAAAGTTCCTATTTCTACCCTGATACTTCTGGCTTCTAGAATCCCAGGCCACTCCCCTATCCCTCCTACCTATGAAATAAGAATAATGGTACAGTGTGTTCAACAGACTTGTCATTATCTTTGTAATAAATTAACCTAGCAATAAAAATTATCATTCTGTCTTTTGCTTGTTGTGGTCATTTTCTCAAACATTCCTGAAAGAAAACTAAAGTCAGTTCTAAAATTTCCAAAACACTAGAGCATAATGAAATCACAGCAGAGGAGATACACTAATGAAAAATACCTCTATTCAACATGAGTAGAATAATGTGATTCCACTGCCAAAATTTTTTAAAGTGTTGCTTTTAAAATGGTGGATTAATAAAACAACTTTTGCAACCTTAAATTAGTTAACATCATAGGGTCCATCTGAAGAATCTGCTCCTATAATTTGTATTCCATCAGAGACACAGTGAGTTGGTCTAAACCTGTATGAGATTAAACACCATAAAATTATTAGTTCAATGTTTACTAATGCCTCACACATTTCTATGACATCACTGTATTTAGATAAACTGGGACAGGCTGCAAGAGCCAGAGTCCCCTGAGTTTTTATTTCTTGCTTAGACTTTTTTGAGGGAAGGGTAGACTCTCAAGTCCTGAACAATTTCTAGGTTGGAAACTGAAATGCTATTAGGGGACTGTATGGCTTAAATAAGACATAAAGCATGCAAATCATGAGGAAAACATAAACAGATTGAAATTCTATACATTAAAACTTCACCAAAAAACACCACAGAGAATGAAAACACAAAAGTCCTGGCAAGCACATAAGACTAACAAAAAATCAGTATCCAGAATATATAAAGTACTCCTACAGTTAGAAAGATAAAAAAATAGAAGACATCATGAAGGCACTTCATAGATTAAAAAATACAAAAGGCTCATAAATATGCCCAATCTCATAATCAGGAAAATGCAAATTAAAACCACAGAGACATTTTATATTCACCAGACTGCAAAAATTCAGCTGTTGGTAGAATGGAGCAATGGGAAATCTCCTCCACTCCTGGGATGAGAGAACAGTCTGGCATTCTAGCTAGTGAACTTGAAAGTGAACCTGCCCTACCACCTAGCCGTTCACTTGTGGGTACATACCCTAGAGAAACTCAAAACATGTACTCATGGATGTGTACTATAACAATTACAGCAGCATTGTTCATAGTATCCCAAATATGAAAATAATTGAAATATTACCAACAGAATAAAATAGCTGTATTCATGGGACAGAACACTGGAGAAGGAAAACTAAATAAACTACAGCTATATGCATCAACATGGATGAATTTCAAAAATACTAAGTTAAAGTCATATAAACACAATAAGATCCCATTTATATTAAGTTTAAAAACATGCAAAAAAAAATTATCTTATTATTTAGGAAAATACAGATAGACTGTAAAACTAGAGAGAGCAAGGAAATGGTTGCCACCAAACCACCAAGTGCTTTCCTCTGAGGGAGAAACTGGAGGAGCTTCTAAGGTGGTGAGAACAGACTCATTCTTAACCAATGTAGTGGCTTCTCGAGTGCTTTATTTTCATTCTTTAAATAGTACATATTATATACTCTTGCATGCATTATTTTTAAATAATAATTTTTCCATGTAGAAATGAGTGACTTGCCTTTTTCACAACTTACTGAAATGTGTATTAAAGCACTCTGAAAATTTAACAAGTGCCATGCAAATGATAAAGGTTAGGAATGAGCCTGTTCCCACCACCTTAGAAGCTCCTGCAGTCTCTCCCTCAGAGGAAAGCTCTTGGGGGTTTGGTGGCAACCATTCCCTTGCCTATATAACATATGCAGGCATTTTTTTAAGAGAGTCCATATATTTTATTCAATTAAAGGGACTGCAAAAACATTGATGTTAAAGAACTACTGGTTTAAGACATTCAATTTTGAACATAAACATCCAAGGGAAGGAAAATTTTGAAATTATATTTATTAATGTTTTATTATACATATTGTATTATCTTAGAATTAGGGGGAGAGGGAAGCCCCACTCAAGTGAGGTAACAAACTTGCCATCTTTTACAAAATTTAATTAGAACTGACAATGTTATAGTTAGTCCTTAATTCCTGAGAATTTGAACATTAAGTTTTCTGTGAACTTATAACAAATGCTCACAATTTTTAAATTACAGTATGTTTGAAAAAATAAAAATATCAACATTAATATGTTAGCAAGGAAAATCATTACCCAAATGTATATATGAACTTAGGTATGAATATACTGAAGCCCTGTTGCTCTGCAGTTTAATACCACTTAAATATTAATCGTTTCCAAGATCTTACTTCAAATATATGAATTTATTATAATTTATCCAGACTGCAATGACATTATTTTGAACTAAAGGTAAAATAATAATCCATCACTCTCTTCTCAATTGTAGGTACCCAGGGAGTCAGCATGTGAACTCTATCTAGTACTGATAAAATAATTAATTTACATGTGTGGGGACAATGAACAGAGAACATCTGATTCTCTTCTAATCACAACTTCTATCCCTATTAAAAGGTATTTCAGGGAAGTTAGAGGAAAAAAACAGAGAAAATAATGCTGTTGCTATGAAATGGTGACTAATTTGATATAATCAAATGCAAGATCATTAATATAAACATTTACAATAATGAAAATATAAATTATTAATTATGCAGCATGCTTTAGGGCCATTTCTACAGTTAGTATGAATTACAAATATTAAATGCCTTTAATCCATTCATTGTCCATAATTCTGTAAGCCATGTTTACATAATAAACAAAAACCATTTCCTACATATTCTGCTTCTTCTGACTTTTAATAATAAAAGTATTTATCATAGGCTGGGAAAGTTACCCTGACCCTAACCAATGAGTACAGACAGGGCATTGTACATCCATTCCAAAAGCTGGAATTAAAGAACAATATTAGAATTACTTGCAGGATTTATCCAAAGAAATGTTTAGAGGGCAAGTGCAATAGAAAAATCAAGCATTTCCCAAAATGATGTTTGTATTACATTTCAAGTTTTAAACTCTTTTTATTTTAAAGGTATCATCATATTTTTAAAAAGGATTATTTAATAACTTACATACCTTTACAAAAATAAAGCTAATAGCCTGTTGGGAACTAAATTTACTCAAAATCTTTCTGTACTTTTTAAATCAGGAAGTGACTGATTTTATTAGAGCTTTATTTTCACAGTGGTAATTTTTTAAAAGCCTGAACAGTACAATTATTATTTAATCTGATGTCTTAGATTATACTTGATATAAAGGAAAAGTCTATCCAAACCGTCACTAAGATTTCAATTCAATCTAATGTAGAAGAAACCTGAGTTTGGATGTAGAAATAATTCATTCATTTTTTTTTTTTCCTGGTATCATATATAGTCCCTTCAACCAAGGAGAAAAGAACTGAAGCTTCAAACAGGATTCTATGGCTTTATCTGAATTTTCTTTGAGTATTAAGTAAATCTTAAATTTAAAGCAGTTGGAGGTTAAATGTTCTCAAAGCAATGTAAACTAGTTATAAAATGTCTTATCAAAGACATCAGCAGCTCTTCTGAGTCACATGAAATTAACAATGAGTGCATGATCACTGGTTATACTGCACACAAAGGGTATTAACATACTTGTGTTTCACCTCTAGTATCAAAGCTATCTTCCATATATTCCTTTTATAAGAAGACTGATATGTATGTTTCATGAATCTCAGGCTCAATTCCTTTTTTTAAGCATGTATTTACTGGCTATATATGGTATATGCATTGAATTTCCCAAGACTTGAGATAAAAATGGATCAAAGACCTATGCAAATAAAAACTACAAACATGTAGATTACAAGAGATCTGAGGTGATAGTTTACGAATCTGGATTTGCCCTTCTGTAACTTCATTTCAAATAACTGTTCCTAGAAATGTCTCCTAGCCTAAAGTCCAGGCAAAAATCCAACTTTACCATCTCATTCTCAACTGGTGAAAAGTAGAGCCTTTGGAAATAGAGCATTGCCTTAAAGAATTGCAGTATCTAATATTTTCCAGAGATGTGACCCAGGAAACAATTCATCAACAGCTTATAACATCCATTTCATTGGCAAAAGTTTTAACACAACTCTGATGATTTCATGTGGGCAATGCATACCATCAATATCACTTCACAACAGGATCAGCAGACACAGTGCTGTCAGACAGGTCTCCATTGCTTCTTTTAGTTTCTTCTGGAAACAAGAGTGAAAATAACAAAGGACATTTATGGTCATTTTTTAAAAATGAATTAAGAAGTAAATAAAATTTGAGAAGAGTTATATTGCTAAATTTCAAATGAAGAAAAGACTATCAACTGTTTCTCTAACATAACAAATTATACCTTAAATTACTTTAAATTTTTTAAAAATCTAGGCTAAATACTGCAAATGTTTCAACTGGTTTTAACGAGAGTGTGGAGTTGAGAGCAATCAGAACTGCATCTGGGGTGTGACTTCAAACTGCACGAGCACCCTTCTCCTGTGGAATCATGATACCCCTTTGTCTAAGGCAGGACTGCTCCCCTACACCAATTCTTCCAGCTGGGCCAAGAAATCACCGTTATAGTACACTGCCATTCCTCATAGCAACATGGCTGCAAAC